GAGATGTTTCTCACTCCCCGTCTGTGCCCCGTTCGGGCGTGCGTTAAAGATCTCCCAACGGCATTTTCAGGAAAAGAGAAGGGAGTCTTTCTCTCTCTCCCTCTCTCCTCTCTCTCTCTCTCTCCCGGTGTGCTGGTCGACAATTCCCCCAGATAAAATCATTCGCTCGCTTCATGGCTGTTTGCGAGGACATCGCTGTGCGCAAAACAGCTGCTGAGTTCGCCCCAGAAAGCACACAGTCACTACAATTTAGGGTCAATCCCGCGAAGCACTTTGTGACGTCCTCGTGATGTGCTAAGACGCTGTGTAAATGCAAACGACAAACTAAATTTTGGGGGTCCGAGTCGTTGGATAACATCAATAATAAGAAAATGATAATCAAATGACAACAATAATATTAACATTAATTACATTAATGCAACAATAACAATCGCAATAATAATAATTACGATTGTAATAATAAGAATAATAGATTGTTGCAAAAAAACAATGACCTCTTTAACGTAAACTGGGTGGCCCTTTTATGGGGCGATGGGGGGGGAACAGCAGCGAAGCTACAGGAACTCACCATCTCCTGCCCACAGCTCTGAGACGCCGTCCGGCGTGGAGGGCACTATATAAATCCAAGTTGTTGTTGCTGTTGTTGTTGTTGCCCACACAGGGCTGGCACCACACACAGACACAAGAGAGAGACAGACACACACACAGAGAGAGACAGATACACACAGACACACAGTGAGACACACTCACAGACACACAGAGAGATACACTCACAGACACACAGAGAGACACACTCACAGACACAGAGAGAGAGAGACACACAGACAGAGAGACACACTCACAGACACATAGAGAAACACAGACACAGAGAGAGACGCACTCAGACACAGAGAGACACACTTGCAGACACAGAGAGAGACAGATACACACAGACACCCAGAGAGAGACACACTCACAGACACAGAGAGACACACTCACAGACACAGAGAGACACACTCACAGACACACAGAGAGACACACTCAGACACAGAGAGACACACTCACAGACACACAGAGAGACACACTCAGACACAGAGAGACACACTTACAGACACACAGAGAGAGAGACACACTCAGACACAGGGAGGGACACACTCAGACACATAGACACACTCACAGACACAGAGACACACTCACAGACACAGAGAGAGACACACTCAGACACAGAGAGACACACTCAGACACAGAGAGAGACGCACTCACAGACACAGAGAGAGACACTCAGATACAGAGACACACTCACAGACACAGAGAGAGACACACTCACAGACACAGAGAGAGACACTCACAGACACAGAGAGACACACTCAGACACAGAGACACACTCACAGACACAGAGAGAGACACTCACAGAGACAGAGAGACGCACTCACAGACACAGAGAGAGACACACTCACAGACACAGAGAGAGACGCACTCACAGATACAGAGAGACACACTCAGACACAGAGAGACACACTCACAGACACACAGAGAGAGACACACTCAGACACAGAGAGAGACACACTCAGACACAGAGACACACTCACAGACACAGAGACACACTCACAGACACACAAAGAGAGACACACTCAGACACAGAGAGAGACACACTCACAGACACACAGAGAGAGACACTCACAGACACAGAGAGAGACACACTCACAGACACAGAGAGAGACACTCACAGACACAGAGAGACACTCACAGACACAGAGACACACTCACAGACACAGAGAGAGACACTCACAGACACAGAGAGACACACACACAGACACAGAGAGACACTCACAGACACAGAGAGACACACTCACAGACACAGAGAGACACACACACAGACACAGAGAGACACTCACAGACACAGAGAGACACACTCACAGACACAGAGAGACACAGAGAGAGACTCACTCACAGACACAGAGAGACACACTCACAGACACAGAGAGACACACACACAGACACAGAGAGAGACACTCAGAAACATACATACAGAGGAGAGAGACACAGAGAGACACACACACAGACACAGAGGAGAGAGACACACTCAGACACAGAGACACACACACAGACACAGAGAGAGACACACTCAGACACAGAGACACACACACAGACACAGAGAGACACTCACAGACACAGAGAGACACACTCACAGACACAGAGAGACACAGAGAGAGACTCACTCACAGACACAGAGAGACACACTCACAGACACAGAGAGACACACACACAGACACAGAGAGAGACACTCAGAAACATACATACAGAGGAGAGAGACACAGAGAGACACACACACAGACACAGAGAGAGACACTCAGAAACATACATACAGAGGAGAGAGACACAGAGAGACACACACACAGACACAGAGGAGAGAGACACAGAGAGACACACACACAGACACAGAGAGAGAGACACACACACACACACAGAGACACACACAGACAGAGACAAACATTTCTCCTCCACTTCCCTCTGTTTCTTTTAACAACTATTTTGAATCGGTGCCCTCGGGTTACCCACCCGCCCGCCAGTGGGAGTAGTTTCTTCTCGAATCCCCTCATAATAGTTTCTCCGTTAGGTTTCTTCGCACAAGTCATATTACTATTAAGGTGAGAAACTGGACAGTGAGTGTACTGAGGTGATTGTCTGATTTATGGAGATAAACTTTTACTGCACTTTAGAAAAGAGAAAGGACTTTCTCTCTCCCAACCGCAATTGGCCGCCACGCTTCGCCCACCAAACACACAGTCACTACACTTTACAGTGTACCCTGTGAGGCGCTTTGAGACGTCCCAACGGTCTGATCAAGCTCTTCACCAAATGGAAGGATTATCATCGTTGTTAATTCACCCGGTTTGAGACAATGTGAGTTTATTGTTGGGGCAAACAGTTTCTCCCGTTGGCCAGAGGGAGCCGCTATCTACTGCCCCGTGTGCATTGATGCACCTTCACACTTACACACCAGAAAGTTAGTCTGTAGGTGCAGCTACGATTAGAAAGGCGAACGGTATGTTTGCATTCATTATGAAAGGATTAGAGTATAAGAGTAGGGAAGTCTTGCTGCCACTGTATAGGGCCCTGGTGAGACCGCATCTGGAATACTGTGTGCAGTTTTGGTCTCCTTATTTAAGGAAGGATGTACTTGCCTTGGAGGGGGTACAGCGTAGATTTACTGGGTTAGTGCCAGTGATGAAGGGGATGAGTTACGAGGATAGGTTGACCAATTTGGGCCTATATTCTCTAGATTATAGAAGAATTAGAGGGGATCTTATAGAAACGTATAAGATCATCAAAGGGCAGATAGAGTAGATAGTGGGAGATTGTTTCCCCGGTTGGAGAAACTAAAACCAGGGGTCACAACCTTAAAATCAGAGGCCAACCCTTTCGCACTGAGTTGAGGAAGAACTTCTTCACTCAAAGGGCAGTGAATGTATGGAACTCATTACCCCAAAGGGCTGTTGACGTTCAGTCCTTGAACATATTCAAGACTGAGACAGATAGGTTTCTTATTGCAAAAGGGATTAAGGGATATGGGGATAAGGCAGCGTCAGGTTATTAGTTGGAGTTAGATTAGAAGATCAGCAATGATTGAATGGTGGGGCAGAGGCTCGAAGGGCCGAATGGCCTCCACCTGCTCCTACATGTTATGTTATGTGTGTGTGTGAGTGTGAGTGTGTGCATGAGTGTGTGTGAGTGTGAGTGTGTGTGTGTCAGTGTGTGTGAGTGTGAGCGTGTGTATGTGAGTGTGTGTGGGTGTGTGTCAGTGTGTGAGCGTGTGTATGAGTGTGTGTGTATGTGTAAGTGATGGTGTGTATGTTTGAGTGTGTGTGTGTGTGTGTGTGAGTGTGAGTGTGTGTGTGGGTGGCAGTATTGAAGGTTTCTGCTGTCTCAGGCTGAGATGTAATGAGTCAGATTGTGAGGTGGGGGATGAAGTTGATTTCCGAACTGAAACGACTTTTTATTTTAAGCCGGCGGAGGCTGCAATGGGACGCCCCCCCCATCCCTTAACATGAAAGGCGCTGTACGAACATCATTTTGTTTTTATTGTTGTGAAACGCGACGGCAGCCATCAGCTCACGCGCAGCCATGTCCCACAAACATCCGTGGAATGAGCCTCCGAACTTTATCTGTATATGACTATATATACCAGTGGAGAAAGATAGAGTGTGAGAAGTTCCCTCGCCTTTTCCAACAGCGCCAGCCGCGGGAGATCATTAAAGTCGTCCGTGGGAGCTCGCTTTATTATTATTATTGGTAATATTATTATTATTCTCCCCCTCCTCTGCCCCCTACCCATTCACAATGTTAATTTTTCGATTCCCCGTTCAATGTTGCGGGGTTTTGGCTCACAAACAATTTGGCGAATTTAGCTAATAATAATAATATTATTATTAATAATCCTTGCATTTGATACAGAGACTGATCACGTCTTCGAGACGTCTCAAAGCCTTTGTTCCCAATCTATACGGATGAACACGGCCTTATACACACTGCACAGACACAGACAGCCCCTGTCAGAAGGTTGTGGGGTCAAGCCCCACTTTGGTGTTTGGAATCACATCGTCTGAAATGATGCTCCAATGTAGTTTCAATGAGACACAGTTTAATGTCTCATCCAAAGGACGGGGTCTCCAACAATGCAACAGTCCCCCCCGCGCCCCCACCCGGAGCGTCAGCTTACACTGTGTGAATTTATGTCCCGACATGGGGGCTTGAACCCATAATCTTCTGATTCAGAGGAGAGAGAGAGAGAAAGAGAGCGCTACCATTGAGTGGGGCTGACACACACTGAGCCGGGCTGACACACACACTGAGCTGGGCTGACACACACTGAGCCGGGCTGACACACACTGAGCCGGGCTGACACACACACTGAGCCGGGCTGACACACACTGAGCCGGGCTGACACACACACTGAGCCGGGCTGACACATACTGAGCCGGGCTGACACACACTGACACACACTGAG